GGGCAATAACCACTGAGCCGCATGCACGTTGGCATTCACACTTGGTTGCTGAATCCCCAGGACATCTTCCAAAGCTGAATGGCACGCCTGTGCCATTGTCCTCTGCTGACTTGTTGGCTTTTGGGGCTCTATGGTCGCAGACAATTTGCCGCACCGCCCTCTGATCGTGGTTGCGCAGTCGTCTTTATGGGATTCCTTTGTGGCCTATAAGTTTTACAACAAAAACGTCCGTTACAGTTGGAACAGGGTGGTCTGGAGGCATGGGGCTGGAAACACAATCGCCAACACACATCTCTTTCTGATTTGAGCGAATGGGATTGGAAGTCACACGTCGAGCAGTTTCTGACAGCGCTTCGCAATGGATTTGGATGCAGAAAAGTAAATTGGCGGACCAACCCGAATTGCCCCACGAATCAAACATTCATTGACAGAGTGAGCTCCGCACAGGCAAATGTGATTCGAACTGCAGTGAAGTCCGGCGAAGGCATTTGGGAGGCAGTTGAGGTGTTGGATTGGCGCGCGCAGTATAGAGCAGCTAGCATGGACGATTGCGTTAGTACCGTTCACTACACAGACAGGGCTTACCAGGTTTACTTCGATAACCGCATGCCGATGATAATAAAGAGACCCCCCCCCTTCAGTGTTTAGAGTTGATTATCGTCGCCCTATACAAAATTCAAATTGGGCGGCGAGCGCTGAGGCCGAACTTCATTATCACCTCGAAACGCTATGTTGAGATAGCAACATCAAGCGATGTTGCTATCCCCGCGCGCGCCTGAACTTTTTTATCTCTGGGGTTGATTATCCATGGAAAGGGGAGCACATGAGCTACCCTACATGAGCACTTTAAAAAATCAATTTTCATAAAGCGTTTGTAAATTAAAATTGATAGATTTGGAACTTTCCATTTTTCCGTTTTTCTTCTCTTCTTCTTCTTCTCTTCTTCTTCTCTTCTTATTATTCTTCTATTTTCTTCTTCTTCTTCTTTTATATTTCTATCTGTCCTCACGCTCGCCTGAACTTTTTTATCCCTGGGGTTGATTATCCATGGGAAATGAAGCACATGAGCTACCCTACACGAGCACTTTAAAAAATCAATTTTCATAAAGCGTTTGTAAATTAAAATTGATAGATTTGGAACTTTGGATTTTTCATTTCTTCGTCCTCTTCTTATTATCCTCTTCTTCTTCTTTCTTATTATTCTTCTACTGTATTCTTCTTCTTTTATATTTCTCTCTGTCCCCACGGTCGCCTGAACTTTTTTATCTCTGGGGTTGATTATCCATGGAAATTGAGGCACATGAGCTACCCTACACGAGCACTTACAAAAAACAATTTTCATAAAGCGTTTGTAAATAAAATCTAATAGATTTGAAACTCGAGATTTTTTCTTCTCTTCGTCCTTCTCCTCCTCCTATCATTTCTGTTATTTTATTATGTATTATTTTTACTGTTCTTTTTTATATATAGCTTCCTCCATTCCAGCGAGATTTGCCATTGTTGATGATATTTCTATGAAAACTAAACGCCAAGGATGTCTCAACACGTGCTCGGCTTGGTCTCCCCTTGATCATCTCTTACTTCGAGATTATGCTGAGGTCTGCTGGGCTACTTGTATTATCTCTCCCTGAACCCCGAACTTTATTATCCCCTAGTGTTTGTTCTCACGGGCATGAGGTTATGCTGTGGCGAGCGCTGGCGCAGTCCGGCGGGCACACGTGCACCTCCGTCGTGCACAATGGGTCGCGGTATCGATCGAACAACGGGCAATTCTTCGGCCGCGTCGGGGTTGCTGTGAGCGGTGGGGTTGGTTAAGTTGTCGATGCTGCTGTAGTGCGTGCTCAGTTTCCTGCGCGCGAGATTGCTCAAGTGCGATCGACGCCTTTCGCCTCGCGTGCGAAGTGCTAGGAGGAGGGGAGGAGTAGGACGGGCAAGCCTACTGAAAGTTACGGGGTGGTCGTAACCAAGTCGGTCATCGAGCTCTTGGCCAGGAGCCCTGTCGTTATTTCCTGATCGTGTTTTGCTCGAGGGTTCTAATCGAGGTTAAGTGGACCACGGAACAGTCGGACAGGCGCGACGGGAGCCCTAGACTGCCTGGTCCCGCAGCTGGTTCGCAAGAGATTTCTTGCAAATTAATTCAGAAACCGTGCTCTCGGCCCAAAGCCAGCTGCATTTTTGGTCCAGGCGGTCACGATGCTTCCTGCAAGAGACATACACTACGCTGCAGATGGCCGTGTTCTCACCCCTGTCTCGCCTGTCAGCGTTTTTGGGATGTCTTAGGATTGCACGTATTCACTAGCCGACCTCATTATCTTCGACCCGCCTCTTCACTTGTGCTGTTGTTCAGTTGCAATGCCGAGATAATTGTCGGGTATCGCCAGGACCCAGTCAAGGGGAGTCTGTTAGTAATTGGGTCCCGAAGCCCCGATTATGGATTGGAAACACGAAGTTTGGCCTGCCGCAGCTGTTTTTTCTTCGTGTGACGGCTGTTCCAGGTCGTGGAACTGGCCAGGGGGGGGGGGCGTGCCCCCGTGCACATCTCTAAACCAATCTCCACAGAAACTCAGACCCGCCAATGCCCCGAATTGATCTGGACGGCCACGACGCCTAGTAAGAGACACATTGAGGTGCGCATTGTCGTGCTCTCACCTCTGCCCCGGCTGCTTCTTTCGTGGAGTCCCGAAGAATGCTGAGGAATGCATTTTCTCATTGGCCAAACACTTCTTTCTCGACCCTCCTCTTCACCTTTGCTGTTGTTCGGATGCGTTGCTGGGGTAAGTAACCTGTTTTCATTTTCTAGCAGGGCCCGACAGATTGGCTACACAGGACGGCCCCCGTCCACAGGGAGGGAGTGTACAAGGTTTGCCCCTGCACATTGGGCTCCGTTCGCGCTGATGGCGGCGCATCACGCCCTGACTGGTGTGACATTCCCGGCTCACCCTGTGGTATCATGTCTCGCCATAAGGCCATTAGGTGGTGTTTTTTCTTGGAAGAAACAATGGCGGATGTGTGTTCTGAAGTTCCGTTTCGTTTGTTCTCCTCCTTCACCCTCGTCCCTTTTGAAGGCGTCCGGTCTCGGGGGCCTCTTTCGGACCTTCTCCGGGCCTGCTGGGGGCCTCGTTGGTGGGCGTCTTGGAGCCTGCTGGGGGCCTTCTCTACGCCTCAGGGCCCTCTTGGGCTCGATGGCCCTTTCGATCTCTCTCCAGACCTCTCCTGGAGTGGCTCCGTGAAGCCGTGGCGGGGCCGCTTGTTAGGTCTGAAGGCCGGCTTCCCAGACCTCCCAGATTGCGTCCTATCGGAGACAGAAATTTGCACACCCAGCGGTCGTTGAAATCAAGTCCTCCCGTCAGGAGGAGGAAAAGGTACCCATACCGCCACTCGTGCCTCGTTTTCGCCTTTTCGGGCCTCCTGGGAAGCCTTCGTCGCCAGGGCTGGATTCGCTTCGAAATTTTGGTCAGAAGGCAACCCGGAAGAGGTCCGGGAGTAGCAGCATCGGTACCCATTGTTTTCCCCATCGAGGCCTTCCAGATTGGGTCGGTTTAGACGGGGTCTGAGGATCGCGCCGCATCGCCGACGCATTGGCGATGCAGCTCGATGTGAAACCCGGTTTTATTTAGTATTGGAGCTCCACTGAGGTGGTCCCAGGCCGTCCTGGGGCGTGGTGTGGTCTTCTCGGGGCCGTGGGGCCGTTTCTTCGGGCCCTGGGGCTTTTCGAGGCCCATCTCCGGCCGAAGCACATCGGAAGCCACCCTCGTATGATGTCCGGTTATTGATTTCTCTCCATCGCGGGAAAGGTTGCGCCCGGCGATGCGCGACGCGCGTTCAGCTTCGCACCTTGGCGCTGTCGGCCAGCATCGAGGAGGATCGAGGATCAAGGGTCGGGGGGATCGGAGGCGATCGGGAAGGATCGGATCAAAGAGGAGTTGTCACAAAAGCAAAGCTCATCGCGGATTCTTTGGATCTGTATTGGGCCCCCTGGCAGTGACTCTAGCGCCGCCCCTAGCCCGCTCCGCGCGCCAGGGAGGGGGCTCCAGCGCATGATGTTTATGCCATGTTGTTCCTCCACCGCAGGTCTTGGGCCTGGGTCTGCATCGGTAGTGGACGCCCACGTCCTGGATTGTCCAGGTGGCGACGCCGCAGCTGTGTCATACGATCTTCGAGGCAGAACAAACGGCATGAGCATACACTTGCGAAGCTCCGCGCGGATCCAAGAAATCCGCAAGCACCTCTCAAAGTTTGTGTTCATGTAATATGAGTGTGTTCTCCTGTAAAGCTGGCGTTCGCTCAAGAGCAGCGAGTCTGCTGCCGCAATTGCTCACAGTAGCTTCAGCTGCGCCTCGCCGCGACATTCAGCAGAAGCTCCTTCGCCTACTAATTGGGGGCAGCCCGTCCGGGGTCAGGACCAGCGGGGCCGCAGCTATCTCAAAACCTATACATTCCTTTGCGTTCCCTTCGCAATTCCTTTGGATATTCTCCGCCTGGGCCAGAACATTTCTCAGAACACGTGGGCGACAGAAGGCAAGCGGGTTCTATTGTGCTGGCATTCGCGCGTAAGTTGCCCGCGTAAGGTCGCGCGTAAGCGCTTTCGTGACAAGCGTGGTGTGCCGCGTTGGCGGCCCGTGAGACCTGCGGAGCAAGGCCGCTATGCCATCTCTCGTAAGACCCGCTTCTTAACGTCGCTCGCATGCTTGCCTTAGCTTCCCTTCCGCTGACTCTGACCCCCAGAAGTTAGTATGCAACTCCTGTGGGGTTTAATTCTCAGTCGCCGCTGGTATTTCAGTGGTCGCGGACTGGCCTAATCTGGCTCACCCTCGCTTGATCCCGCTTAATCCAGCCCTACCCCATTGAATCTTGTGTAATCCTGGGCTTAGTCCGGCTTGATCTGGCAGAATGGCCCCTCCCTCGGGCTCAGTAGCCCTTCTGGCGAAGATCTCTCAGGAGTTGCCTCCTGACAGGAGTTTCGCCCCCATTAGCAGGCGAATGAGCAGCGTTCGCACGGGATGGCTCTCCTGAGCCGCGCACGCGCGCTGCCGCTCATGGCGGTCGGTATCTGTGCCTTTCCCGTATTCGACGTGGACGAGGGCGAGCCGTTGGCAGTGAACCCGAATCGCGGCCCTCTTGGCCAAATGGGGTCCGAGTAGCGTTGCGTGATATCCGACCCCGAACGAGACTTCTGGTGCGGTTTTGGACGTCGCTGCGGCGACGGTGGCGGCGGCATACCCCTTCGCAGCTTCCCCCCGCTCTGCGATGTAGACGCGGCTCGTCATTCAAAATGCAACGATGAACAGCTGTCAATATGTGTCCAACCTGGGCTCTCATGTTTTTGGGGTTCGTGGACGGTTATCACGCAACCAGAGTAGTTGGGGTCGGCAGCTCGTGCCGCATCGCCGATGCATCAGCGATGCGGCCTTGTGTGGAGTCTGAGCTTCTCCCGATGCATCGGCGGTGCTTCGGCAATGCAGCGGCGACGCGGTGCGATTTTCCAACCCCATCTATTCGGGCCAGATTTGAGAGACCTCCAGGCACCGCCTTCAGCTCAGTGAGCAAGTTGGATGATACCCGGGTGATTGATTGCTTCACGGACTATTTCAACAACGGTGGTGCAGGTCTTCAGAGGAAGGCGAGTGAAGGCATTGGTGGGTTTGCCTTCGGAGGGCCTATTCGTCGCCACGGCTGGACGCAGCTTGGAAAATTGGTGCGTTACCCGGGGAGCAATGTGAGTTGCCGTTGGCTCAACTCGATTTGCTCCGAAGGTACGTGCAAGATCCTCAGTGTGGAGGACATGGCGGTCACCGAGGAGGCTACCGTAGTCTTCAATGCAAACCATACCCAGTACATCAACGTGGCAGCTTTCTCCTCTACGGCTGCAGTAGTGTGCTACTTGGACCACGTCGGCACGGAGCACCTCACATGCAGATTCCTGGACGTCAGCAGCAACAGCATCAATCCCAGCGAGCCCTATACTGTGGATGACGTCGCGGTGGAGGTGTCGTTCTTGAGCATCGCGAGCCTCACGCAAGATGTCGGCGTCGTGTGCTGGTCTAAGCCGCTCGACTCGGCGAAGGACAGAGCCGGCGTCTGCAACAAGCTGACCATGGGGGAGGGAGGAGTGATCACCGTCGGAAACCTCGTGTACTTCGACCAAGACTTCTCCACCTCAGACGTGACAGTAGAGGCCTTCTCCGAGACAAGCGCGGTGGTCTGCTGGAGCGCGCAGGGCGACGGCGACTGCAGGACGCTGACCCTCTCCGACTCTGGCTCTCAGGACTCGAAGCAGAAACAATTACATAAATGTAGAATTTCGGCGTTCCGCGCTGATTCTTCGATTGGCGCTGGGCCCCCTGGGCGACGCCTCTGGCTCCGCCCCCGGCGCGCTCTGCGCGCCAGGGAGGGGGGTCAGCGCTGATCCCAGATATTACGCCACGGACCTCCGAGAGTTAATGCTTGTGCAGATGTGTTTTCTTCCCAGGACTTCGACATGGGCACGATCGGGAGATTCTTCAGTGGGGAGTCCGAGGCCTTCAAGGGCCTTGTGCTGGTGAGGTTCAACGCGTCGCGCGGCCTTGTGTGCTGGGCGGACAAGGTGGCCAAGAACCAAGTGGACTGCAAGCCGCTGCTCATCGACGGGTCTGACCTCGGCTTCGGGGACGCGGGCGCGGTGACCGCATTCCCGTCTCTGCACTTGACCGCGGACGCGATTACCGAGGATGCCGCCTTGGTGTGCTACTCGGCCGACCCAGAGGGCAGCGTGCTCGACACCGAAAATTTCGATGGAAAGGGCACCTGCAACATCGTGGGCTTGGCGGATGGCGACTCTGTCGTCGGTGCTGGCCCCCCGAACGAAGTGAATTCGGGCACCACGCAGTTCCTGGCTGTGGCCACGGCCAGCTTCGACGACCGCTCCGCGGTGCTGTGCTACTCGGACGGCGGCGCAGGCAGCGGCAGTTGCAAGGCTCTCGGCATGGCGGAGACGTCCACCTCCTCCACCTCCTCCACGGAGACCACGGAGTCCACCACGGAGTCCACCACCACGACCCCACACACCACCTCAGAGACCAGCACCGTCTCGGGGACCAGCACCACGTCTCTGCACACGACCTCGGCGACTTCCACCACCTCGTCGGCCCACACCACCACCGTCACCACCGTCACCCACACTCTCACCCAGCCCGAAGATCCAATTTCAGGAAGCTTGGCGCCGGACTTGTGGGGAGTTGGCGTGGCGTTGCTCGCGGCGACCGGGGTCACGTTGTGTTGAGACAGCGCAGTGCGCTACGGTGACACAAGATTACCAGTTAGCCACATGCAGCACGCCTATCGCAGATCAGATTACGAGCGGCAATGACCGTGAATTAGTCAGCGTTTCCCTATGACCGTGAAAGGGTCCAGCGAAAGGAAAGCATGCGTCAAGGGCACCTCGTGAGCTCTCGGTTCCGTTACCGCCTTTCCGAGCTGCGGTCATTGGGCGAAGGATGCGATGTGCCCTTGCAAGGAAGCAGGGGGGCGGGATTGAGCGTCAAGGTTGAGGCGCCTCACTTGATTTGCTTCCCGTTCCGTCGTCAGTGGTCCGAGCTGCCGGCCCGATCTGGACCCTCGTGATGGGCCTTGCCATCCACGTGCCCATGCATGCCCCTGTTTGCAGCAGACTGGGCATCGGCGCAAGCAGAGGGCAGCATCCTGCGGGGATCACCCGCAAGGAGGCAGACTGTCCAGACGCGGCGTGAACGTATGGACGATCACCGTGGTTACCTCCCGCGTTCCCCAGCCTTTAGGTCCCAATTCTCTGACTCCAGGTCCCATCTTTCCGATTGCGGCGTCCGCCCAGAGAGCGCCAGGCCTGTCGCGAGTCCGTGTGTGCAGTGCTTCGCCGCCTGAGCGCGCGTGCGGACTGCCTCTGCCGCGCTGCGACGTAAAAGTGTGATGTGCATATGGACGCTTCGGCCCAACCCAACAGCACCCGCGCGGTGCATGATGCAGGCTCTGTCCTGTCTTGTCCTGTCCTGTCCTTCCCCATCTCCATGCCTCTTTTCCTCAGGCTCCCATCTCCCGCCTGTTTGCATCCAGCGGGGGCAGGAGCGATAGAACACAGCGTCTAGGCGAGAGGGCATATTCAAGTGCCGTGGCTAGCCTTGACGACAAAGTAGATGCACATGCGGCCGCGTGATTTAGCGCCCAGCCCTCGCAAGGCAGTGGCAAGGTGCATTCCACATCTCCGATATATATATATATATATATATATATTGTGGAAAACGCGGACCTCCAGAGGCCAGAGGTCTCGAACCGTGCCCCCCAGGGAGATTTTGCATCCCGAGTCGATATCTGAGGGTCTTATGGCCCGCGGAGGGCCCCGGGAGGCCGAGCACTGCCAGAAGCCTCCCGCCGTTACACTTTCGTTCGACGAGAGGAGGCCTGCCTGGCTGGGTGCTCGTGATGTGGCCGGCCTGGGCGAACACGTGGACGCACGAGCGGTCGCCTTTCGGTACGACCGTCACGGGTACGGAAATAATCGGGGCCAGGACCAGTGGCAGTTTTTGCTCAGTGTGGAAGAACTCGCTGCCTGTGTCGCCGCGGGCGATGTCCGTTCGAGAAACCAGGTCGACTGCCCGACAGCGGCCGCTCGTCGTTTTTGACAAAGTTTGCTGTTTGGCATCATGCCCATTTCTTCGGTACGGTCAAGATGTTAGGTTTACCTTGAGTACGTTCGGAGCTTGAGTACTTTAGGGCTGTCTTAAATGCATTTGAGTTGTCTTTGAGTGCGGTCGAGTAGCGTTGAGTACGTTCGAGTTGTCTTGAGTACTCTAGAGTTGTCTTGAGTACATCAGAGCTGTCTTGAATGCGTTCGAATTGTCTTGGGTACGCTAGAGTTGCGTTGAATACGTTAGGGTTCTCTTGAGCACGTTAGTGTTGTCGTGACTACGTTGAGTGCAATAATGTGTCGCCAAGTACATATGGTGCAATCTATATGGCCCAGTACATGTGGTGGCCTCTGTGGGCCGCCAGCGAGCCCCAAGCCTCGGCGAGAAGCCAACTGATTGCCTTCGCATGTACAACCGCCGCGAAATGCACCGAGCGCTCGCCAAGCATCCGGCGATTCAGGCGTGCTATTCTTGTTGCTCGACAACCTCGTCCACACTGAGATGCTTGGCACTTGTGTTTTCATCGGTTTGCAGTCCTATGGCGACGGGGCGAGGCAGCCCTTCCGCGATGACGGCTATTCCATTGTCTGTCAGATCGGCATTGTTCAGCTCGTCCGCTCGGGCCTGAATCCTTTGGAAGCGCAGGGCCGCGGCTTTGCGCACGTTCACGGTAAGTACACAGGCGTACCCCGCTGCTGGGCTGCTCGCCTCAAGACTCTTTTCAACCAGCCGCCGCTGCTACAAAACACGGCGGCGACGAGCGCGCAACGTTTTGCGACCGAGCGCGCCATGAGCACTTGCGCGCGGCGTCCGCGCTCCAGTACGATTATGCAGTGTTGTCCGGGCGGCAGGTGGGTGTCCCGCTGCTGCCCGAACCGTGTTGTGCGCAACAGCAGCGCTTCAGTCGGCTTGACGGCTTGCCGGAGAGGAGATGGACGACGACGGCCGCGCCCAGCAGTATCTGCCCGTCGCGGAGGCAGAGCCGAGATTCCACGTGAAGGCCGAGTTGCGTGCTTTTGTCGCAAAGCTGCGCATCTTTCGGGACGCATACAAGAAGACCAGAGCAATTCAGAGCATGATGCCGTCCTACCGCCGTTCCACAAGCTTCAGTCGCATTCGCGTGCCGGACGAGTTGTTCGGCCACTACTCCAGTGAGGGCGGCGGGGATAACGGCGCCGTCTGCGCCTGCGTTCTGGAGTCAGACGGCGAGGTGGCGGGCGCGCGGCTGCCGTCAGGAGCTCCTGCTTCGGAAGAGGGCTTGGCCGCCGACGCCGCGGCGTGGGCCACAAGCTTCGCTCGCGACCAGCGCGTCTTTTTCGTGCAGAACCACCATAACCGCGAGTGCACTGCCACTTGCGTGCAGCATCTGCAAGGACAACAAGCGATTGTATACCCAACTTTAACGTGGGACTTACATAGGTCATTTGGCGGTGAGGACAGGGGTGATTGAAATGGTGTTTTCATTGGTGCGAAATTCGGCGGCCAGACACAACTCCCAACCAAAACCGCTATCAATGCGATGTGCACATCGCCAGAGAAATCGCGTTGCGGGCGCGTCGGAGATGAGCGCGCGTGAGAGATGCAGCAGGCGCCTCGACCAAAAACGCGCAAGTCTTGTGTAGAGCCAAACGGGGGTTTCGTCTAAGCGCCGTTTTGTCTACGTGTCTTGAGCCAATCGTCGTTCCAATCACTTGGAAATCTGCGCCCGCCGATCTGGGGGAACTGGGCGGTTTCATCGCCCATCCGTTCACCCGTTAGGGAGCCGCCGAGCCCGTGGAGCACAACATCTACCGCTCTGCATGTCGAGCGCGCCGATGCTGCGCTGTTCGCCAAGGCTCGCCGCCTGGGAGCTGCGGGCGAATTGCCGGGCATCGGCGGGGCTCGGCATGCGAAGTGATAGATGTATGTGACATGCCAGCTTGGCAGTCCCCAGACTGATGAACGGGCGGGCGATGGAACCGCCAAGTTCCCTCAGATCGGCGGGCGCAGGTTTCCCTGGCTTTGGGGCGACGATTAGTCCAAAACAAGAAGTCAACCGCGCTAGGCCCCCCTGAATATATATATATATATATATATGCGCTCTCTACGGAACATGCCTTGCTGCGTTTCCCGCGCGCGCCCGCCCCCATAGCGTTCGCCGCATTCATTTCCAGTCGGCGCGCGCATCGCAGTAGCGAAAGCTTCGTTTAGGGATTAATTCTGGCAGCGCAGCAACGCACCCATACTTAGGGATTAATTCCGGCCCGAAGCGGGGTCCCAGGAAGGCCCCAATACCAATCCAAGAGCGCGCTGCTCCGCGGGAAGCCCGGTAGCCCACTGAATGGGATGGATAGAAGATTGCGCGCCATATGTCACCCCATTGAGTGGGATAATCGCCCAGGCGAGCTACCGCCGTCTGGCGACAGACGGCGCCAGAGAGGTTATCCCACCTAGTGGGATAGAGGATGGCGCCAACGAAGTGGTTTGCGGATGACCCCGAGAGACACCAAGAGCCCAAGAGGATTTCAAATGGGCACCAAAACTGGCCGCGGAGCCTCCAACATTGCCCGGCGAAGGCCCCGCGATGCCCCCAAGAGGCGTGCTTCACAACCACGTGGTCGTTAACATTGGTGCGTCGACGATCAAAGGGCTGTCAGCGCGTGCCCGACTGCGCTCGCGCACGGGTTTCAAAAACATGCGTTTGTTGTTAATGATTCGCCTTTCACGCGCTCGCGTTAACGGCCGAGCGGCCGCTCGCGCGCCCGCGATCACGGCCGCGCGGCCGTTAACACGGGCGCGTTGCCGCTCACGCACGGGGCTCGACCATTTTAATGTTCCAGTCGTTTTTTTCAAGGCTTGCCGTTAACGCGCCCGTGATCACGGCCGCCCGGCTGTTGGCGCGCCCGTGGTCGCGGCCGCCTGGCCGTCGGCGCGGGCGCGTTCACATTTAGGCGCGGGGCTCAAAACGTTGATTTTCATTTGTTATTCAATGGTTTTCCGCGAGCGCGCCGCGATCGCGGCCGCGATCGTGGCCAGGCGGCCGCGGTCACGGGCGCGTTTGCGGCCGGGCGGCCGTGATCGCGGCCGCGATCACGGCCAGGCGGCCGCAATCGCGCCCGCGTCAACGGCCAAGTGGCCGCGGTCGCGGCTGCCCCAAACGCCCCCCCGAACAGGTGAAAACATGGGCGCGCGGAAGGGCGCGCGGCAGGGCGTGCGTCGCGCTTGCATTGTGCTCTACGTTCCCAAGTAGCGTTTGCACTGAAAGAGCCCCTGAGAAGCTGAGATTTTTTCGCGCGAACCAAGCCGATCTTGGTGAGCGGGTGGGCCCCCCCTTCCCAGTGTCAGGGCCCCGGGTCCGGGGCCTGCGGCGTCGGGCCCTGGGCCCTGGGCGGAGTGGCGTTCTCGGGCGTCCAAATGTTGGCTGCCGCCCGCGCCCTGGTCCGTTGCGCCCGCGAGCAAGAAGAGAGTTTGGGTGGCAAAGTGGGCAGCGCGTTTCGAAGCTCACGGGGTCAAGTGGATAGTGGAAAACTTTGAATGGGGATTTCCAGCGGACGCCGATCAACCTGATCTGAAAGTTTTGGACATGGAAGTAGGAAGACAGAAGACAGCGCAAAGAGGGCGATAGAAATAGAAATACAGATCG